AGTCTGGATGCCTTCAAGTGACTGGCTGCATCAGTCAAGGCCTAGATGGGAGACAGACTCATGTCAGCCTCCGGGTCTCCACTCCAGCTTTACTAGAATAAGTCACACACTCGGTGGTTTCTTGTGTCTATTTTAACGTGGTTAGAACCCAGAGGGGAGGATGGGTGTGATTAGAACCTCCAAAACCCCAACAGATGGCTTTGCAATACTTTCTCTTATTTCAAAGACTCTCAGGCAAAAGGAAATGGGTTCTGCACTTAAAGCCAAATACAAGCATCAGGGACAAGCAGAAACTGGCCTCTTTTGGAAAGCAAAATAATACAGATCTAGTTAACTATCCTATAGCTTTAGTCAATGTGTTTAGCTATTTCTGTGGTAGTTCACATAGCTAAATGACATCTTAGTCCTACGTAAGTTTTCAGCAGCAAAGTCTCCTAGTGGCTTCACAATATCAGCAGGTCACTATAATGCCAAATCCTTTGTGGTCACCAAGACCAGCAATACGAGTAACACAGGAGACCAATTGAACAGGAGAAACCAAGTAAAGGGAAATAATTCTTGATTTTGACCTAAAACTTGATGGACTAAGTATTTTCATCTCGGAGGTCTGAAAATTATTTTGAAATCCAAGTAGGTATAGATGCTGTGCCTATCTGCAACAGTGATGTGTCCCTTGGTGCTAGAAGTGCAGAACTACTGAAGGAGTCGCACCGCTTCCAGTTTGAAACGACTTGGTGATTTATTAATTGTGATTGAGGCCTCCTCATGTCCGTGTATGTGTGTGTATCTTGTCTATAGCCAACACTCCACTAGGGTAACTTAAAACAAAATAGGAATTTATTTACAATAGCAAAGATGTCAAAAATAACAGGAACAATATATAACAAATCCAAGAATTATTTGATGAAAAAGGCAAACGATATATACACGAAACAAAAGATAAAACAAAATCCATAGGGCAAACTTAATTTTGACCTTATCTAAACAGCTGTAGAATGTGGTAAAATGATTTTTGGGGTATGAATTACTTTAGTAACCCTGGCCAACTAAACACACATACACACACATACACACACACGTGCACGTTTCAGCCCTTCTCTTTCACTTTGCTGAATCTTCCTCTGAACTCTGTTTATCTTTGAGGAATGTGACTATGGGAGGCCATACAAGATTTAGGAAGTGCAGGTTATTTACATGTGCACGAAAGGATATACTTATTGACTGGCGGCTCACACTTTAAGAAGGGCAAGCTGAAGGTATAAACTGCCCGGGTCCTATTTTATTTTCACTGCTCATTTCTGCTTTTTTGTTTTGTTTTTGTGTTCTTCTCATCTTACCACACAAAACGTTGCACCAGTAATCTTTTAAGCTCCTCAAGTGCTCTAAGTGTTTCCCAAACCTGAGCACGCATCAGAATTGCCTGGAAAACATGTTAAAACAAAAATGGCTGGGTCCCACACCCAGTTTCCCAATCAGTGGGACTGGAGTGGGACTGAGAATTTGCATCTTTTAAAAAGTCCCAGGGGATGATGCTGCTGCCATTGCTGCCAGGCCACACGTTGAAAACCACTGCTCTGAAATATCACCTCTTTTAAGGTATTTATTGGCCATGCTTTTCCTTACATGAATCCTAGAAATTGTGGGAAATGAAATTGTTACTACCAAGATTCCCAGAGAACAGAGCAGAACGTTATCTGACTGGTTGGGATCACGAACTAGTTAGGTGTCACATTTGTCGGATTTTCCATTACAACTAAGTTTTTCAGCATGCTACAGTTTTCTGATTTATGGCTCTGGGCAGTGACATTCACCACATTCTCTTGATCATTTACCTCAAATTTTGATTGTTTACTGCTTCAACTATTAGGCAAACACTTGTTCGTTCCTACAGTTAAACTGCAGAATCTCGTCTCTAAAATCAAAGATGGCAGAGCTCGCTCTCTTTTGACTCCCAGTAACTTTTACCTAATTCCCGATGTTTACTATGGCAATGACCATTCTCTAATATGTTAGTGCCTACTAGAGTCCTCCAAACTCGTCACAAACGGGTAACTCGAGGACAGGGCTTCTGCTGTGGAGGTGGTGGCAATCCCCGCTGATTAAATGTGCTGTGAATTGATCCTGAAATGAACTTTAAGTGCTCTCAAAAACCACTTTATGCGTGGGTAATTTATCTCAGAGGAATTGGAGATGCTAATAAAACAAATCCTTTATGAAGATAAAAGAAAAAAATGAATTTCAAGGACATGCTCATCAAAGGACTCACCAATCACCTCTTAACTTCTCTGAAATATTACTTGCAAATTCACAGGACTGAAATATTATCAGTATTTGCATCTGAGTCACAAAATTCAAAGCAATCAAGCATTTCGCATTCCACTGCTGCATAAAAGGAATTAAGAAATGGGGGGGATGAAAATAATCCACTGCTTTTGATGTTTATTAGCTTTACAAAAACTGTACATTTCTTTTTCTTAAGAAAAAGCTTTAACTTAGTACTGGTATCAAATAGACTAAACATTCATTAACAGGAAAATATTCTGATTTTTATTTTTGCACGTTATTCTCAAGTACACAATTACAATAATGTCACACATCCCTATATGATTTTCTTTTTATGTATTTTACTTTTTTTACAAAGTGTACAGAGGGAGGGACATACAATATTTAATAGGATATTTCTACAGAACAATAACTTATATTATGTCCTTGTAAAAATCTGTACCTCTTTAAAACATTTAACTGAAACATCCATTTTTTTAGCTTTGCTAATCAAAATTGTTTTAAGAATTAAAACTAGGTTGTAACTAATGTCAGTACATAACAAGTGACTACAATTTCATTTTCTCTTTATACAGACAAATACATTTTATCATATTCACTTGACCAAACCCTTAAATACCTTTTAAAGGTTTCAATATTGTGCTTTAAAAAGAAAAGAACTGTGTATGATTCCAGAGTATGTAAGAGAAATATAAAGTGTGTAAAGTGTTGTGTTCTTTATCTTTCAGTTTATTTAAAAAAATATAGTTAAATGACCCAATCATTTATATTTTCTGTATTAATTTTACAGAATGTTTTAAAATGAATAAATTTCCATTTTCATTTAAGTGTTTTCTTTTACATTATTTCTGGGAAAAATAAAAATTAAGGGAGATTTTAAAGGTTCTCACAAAAAAATAGACAGAGCTTTCAAGAATAGCAGGGCAACGAATCACACAAGTGTAAGTACTTTAAAGGAAAAAAAGAGAAGCACATTACGAGGGCCAAGGAGATACAACAATTCCCAATGGGACAGGCTAGGAAAATCCATGCCTTGGCTTTGACTGGCATTTAGGCTAGAGTTTACACCAGCCTAAAGCATTTGATTTAGAACTAGACTAAATCAATCTAGCACTTCAGAGGCTTGCCAAACACCAAATACTTCGATTACTAGCCCAAAAATATAACTCTTGAATACAAAAATCAATGGCAAAGAGAAAGATGAAAGGTAAAAACCTAACAGCCCAAAGGGAACGGAGCACCATAAGGCGGTGGGCAAGGCAGCTATCAAGTGGGAAGAAAATTTCTAAATCTCCCACATTGTGCCAGATACATATCGGCCAATAGCCAATTTAAGGGATCCCCTAAACTGTTCCTGTTCTCCAAGATTCAACTTAACATTACCAAATTCTAATCAACCAACTTCGTCTTATGAATTTATGACTCTGAGTCAGACCTATTTGTTAAAAAATGCCAACTCTCAAAGACAAAACTATGAAAGACTTAGTGATGTTCCAAATAAGGCCTCAGACTTTCCTTATGCACTTAAAACATGACTTTATCTTCTAATCAAAGCCAACTTGAGGTTAAGTTTTTAAAGTTTGCTAACCGTGACTCAGAAATAACAGAGCAGCCTGAACTTGCCACGTTTAAGTCGTAATTAGCACCCATTCTCTGGTCCATAGAGCAATCACTTCCTCTCTGTCCCCCTCACTTGGTGAGACAGAGTTGTCTCAGAGAGAACTGTGAGAGTTGTGTCTGGATACTCATTAGTTTTTCAGAAAAATATAAAGGCATGGAGCTGAAATTGTACGAAAACATTTTATCTAGAAACATCTTAACTTCTATTTTTTAATTACCAAAGATATTTAAAAGAAAATACCTTTACTCTTCAAAAATACTAGTGTCCTTATTTTCCTTCTAATTCTTCACCTGAGTAGTCTCTCTGAAGAGCATGACTTACAAAATGCTCTCTCATGCATCCCTGGATCTTTCATGTTATTGTAAATTTAATACTTTTCATTATAGATTTTAAACAACTACTACTTGGGGTTGTGTGTATAAATATGTAAAATAAGCAATACACACAGATACATGTTATATATATATGTGTATATATATAATTCAGGGTACATTTACATATATAAAGTTGCAAAAGATCCTATAAGCCACGAGTTACCTCTAGGAGATTCCAAAACGCAATCCTCAATAAGTCTCATTTGTAGCACACAACCATTCCAAGACAAAGCAGCACGGACAGAATAATCAAAATACAATAGGATCAAGCAAAATTTTTCAATAAGGTTTTCTAAAAGTTTGCCGCACTGACAAAAGATGCAAATAGTCCAAAGAAAGCCAAAAGAAGTATATTTTCTCTGCTAAACAATACGAGAAGTAAACACGAACCCAGCCACTGTTCTTTACCCAGCAATGCCAGGGACGCAAAAGCTCAAATGGAAACTTTCATTGTCATGTGGTCTGAAAATATTAAGACAAGTAAATGACTTCCATGTTATAATTAGACCTGACCAAAAAATCTCCCGTTTATATTAGTAGATGTCTCTGACAATTTTATTGTGAGAAATTTGTGGGAAACAAAATGAGTCAACATGAATACTTTCAGAGTTATCAATCTAAGGTTACCTTAAGTTAAATGATCTTAGAAGAGTACCATGAAGGTAAGCAAGGTAAATATTTAAATAAATATAAAACTTCTAAGATAGAAAACTTCAGTATAGAATCAGGGATTACTTTATTAAAAGCAACTAGCTTGTTGCCGTTTTCCCCATTTATTAAACAAACTGAATAGAATTCAGAACACACTATTGAACAAAATGTAAAAAAAAAAAGTCAACTAGAAGCAATAATTCTATTTGTACACAGCATAAATCAATATACAGTATTGTATGTGAACGAGACTGATTGGCTTTAAAATGAATTTTCTGCTTCAAGGCCAACATCTCTACAAATGTCTGTAGAAGTACTGTTAGGGCAGGCCAACTTCTTTATGATGTCGCATTATGTGCTGGTTCTTTTCTGAAGGTCGTCGGAACCCTTTCTTGCAGTACTCACACCGGTGAGGATAGTCCTTCGTGTGAATGGAAATAACGTGCCGCTTAAAGCCTGAGGCATCTGTAGTGCTATACTCACAGTACTCACACTGGTACACTTTCCTGCCACTGTGTGTCTTCATATGCTTTTTAAGCTCATTCTGTTGCCTAAATCCCTTTCTACATCTCTTACACCTAAATGGAAGATCCTTGGTGTGAACCGAGAGAATATGGCGACTTAGAACGAATGGATCTGCAATCTTAAAGTCACAATGTCTACACTGGTGCATTTTTTTACCCTTGTGGGCAGCCACGTGTTTCTTGAGTTCTGAAGGCCTGTGAAAGCCTTTATCGCACATGTCACACTTATGGGGGTAGTCCTTCGTGTGAACTGAAATTATGTGTCGTTTCAAATCGCTTGAGTTCGAACTCTTGTGGTCACAATGCAAACACTGGTGTGTTTTGCTTTCTTGGTGGATAAGAGCATGTTGCTGCACCTCTTTGGTATCCGAGAAAGTCAGAAGACAAATGTCACACTTGAATGGCATCTCTTTACTATGCTTAGTTTTTACGTGCGTTTTCAAGTTAGAAGAGTCTGCAGACCTATATTCGCAGTACTGGCATTGGTACGGCTTCTCCCCAGTATGGATTCGCATGTGCTTTTTGAGCTCTGACGGGTGACGAAAACCTTTACCGCACTCCACACAAATATGGGGAAAGTTCTTACTGTGGACTGCCAAAAGGTGGCGATTCAATAACCCTTGTTCAGCTGTCTCATATTCACAGAATTTACACTTGTGCATTTTGTTGGCTCCTTTTTCCTTATGCACCATTTTGTGAGTAAACAAAGCCCCAGCATGAGAGAAATGCTTCCCACACTCATCGCATTCGATGGCCTTCTCTGCCTTGCTGGTCAGCTTGTGGCTCTCCAGGTGGTTGTGTAAACTTATCTTCTTGTTGGTAGTGTAGTCACAGTCAGTACAGCGGTACTTCTTCTTGGTAAGGTGTTCGGGATGGTTTTTCATGTGCCTTTTCAAAAAACCTCTTGACTTAAACTTCTTCCCACAAATCATGCAAGGATAGACAGTCAAAGGATGTCCATCAGGGCCAATAATTATTGCTAAGAAAGGAAAAGAAAGAAGTGTGAGTCACCAAACCAAGTTCTTTCTGGTTTCTTCAAGCATTTAAAGTGTATATTCTAACCACTGTTGGCCAAGGACTCCTAAGTTAGGCTATTTGCTACTTAACATTTCTTTTATCATTTTTTAACATGAGAGACACAGCAACCTAGTCATAAGGAGAAACTGGTCTGGAAACTTCATTCAGTAGTACTGTACCAACCTCACTCCCTCCAGTTTAAAAATATTAATGAATAAATATGTAACCTCTATCAAGTAGTGATTACAGCTATAGCAATTTAGAAATTGGTGAAAATTTACTGATAAAAATACAGTTTTGTAATCAAAATTTCTGCTAGTTATTCTAAAAAACATAATTTATGTTAATTTTCAGTAAAGCTTAAATATACCCATAAAATTTTTAATATGCTAATTATACAAGAATAGACAGGAATATGTCATATGAACTGAAGTACTTATCCTGCTGCTCTGTAAATTATGCCTGCTTTATGCTGACATAATTAGATTCTCTAAATATATTAACTTATTTATTTAAAAAGTTAATGCTTATAACATATTTGAGGGAGTTCTTTTCATTTCCACATAAAAATCATTTGAGTTCTGAATTTTTTTAATCCACATTTGATCCATCTCCTGTTTCTTTTTATCCAAGAAAATCATTCATGAATATCACTGAATTCTGAAAATTATATTTTCAAATTCAATACACAAAAGCTACATGTGGTCTAGCAGCTAAAATGCCATCATGACACCCCTGTGGATACATGCTAGAGTTTCATCTGAGAGCTCGCAGAGCACGCTGCGCCGTGGAACTCGTGCGCCCTCACCTGTTTGGTACTGCCTGGAATCAGGTCTTCTCCTTTTCTTTGGTTTTTGTTTAGCCAGTCTGCCGAGGCCAGCAGACTCATCTATGTGCAAGAGGGCACTTGCAGTGCCATTCCGGTTTTCAATTCCATCAGAATTATTACCTAACAATGCGTATTAAAAAACAAAATTATACAGTATTATAAATTCTAAAGAATTAGGAGTTCTCTATTAACTAATAACAACGAAAAGTAAGCCATGATACTCATGAATGACAGAAATTCCCCATTCTAGGTCATGGGTTTTATGAACACATTTATTATAGAACACAGGAAACGCCTAGCTTCCAAAGCCAAAAAACACATGTCAGCATTTTGTCCCATGGCCTCCCTTAATTGTCTCCCAAAACTGTAAAGTCATGGGCCAGGTATAATCAAGATGAAAAATTTCAGCTTGAAAGCCTGTGTACTTCTTGCAATACTTCCTTCTACATAATATACACATGAAGGAAATTCCTGTTAAAAATAAAGACAAAAAGGAGACTTTATAATCTTCCTCTACTCTTATTTAAATCAAATAATCCTTACAGGGTACTGGAATTTCAGATTCTGAAACCTAAGACCACAGAAACCTTTTTTCGATCATGAATTCATGTTCAAGAAGCAACTCAATCAATCCTAAGAACCGCTAGGCGACTTACCATAAGCTGCTGCCCACGCGATGGGCATGAAGGTTTTGATTTCGTTGTCATCCATTTGCTGCTCGTGCACGGCAGCGGCTGCAGCTGCAGCTGCGGCATCCTCCTCTCCTACGATCACTTCCATATAAACTTCATCAGCAATTTCGGCAACATCTAAATAGAAAGTTATAAAAACTTTTGTGACCAGGTTTACAGAGATCATGGGAAAGATGTTTTTATTTGAATTCAGTTAATAGACAAAACGAAAGAAGGTCCAAACATTACATACCCAGAACACAGTTTTCACGTAGCAAGCACTCAATAAATATTTGTTGAATGAATCATTAACTTCTTGGCTTTCATCACCATAATTCGGTTTTAAAACAACATTCTCAGCATATATAAAGAGTCACTGATGTTTCCCTTGGAATATGGTAGCACAGTAATCTCTAAAATAATGCTACTTATTTCCTCCAAATACTGGCCATTAAAGAAAGAGCTACAGAAACTTAAATTTTCTCCCACAAAATGGCCACCTACTTACTTAAATCTTCGTCTTCTTGTTGAGAGTCATTGACAGTCATATAAACCATCTTTTCCCTGGGAACACGAATACTGCTGCTCTGATCAAGCAGTTCGACTCCATGATCACTCTCAGGCTCACTCTCCACAATGTCTACCGTTCCACCTATCAGGGAAGAATACAGCTCCATGAATTTCTTTGAAAACTTCATTTCTACTTGTTTTTTTTTTTTAACATACTTTTCACATGCTTTTCTATTACTACATTAGAATTCTTGTATGAAAGTTATCTTCAGAAAAGATTTCAAATGTTTTCAATCAAAATAACCCAAAAGTAATCAGGTTGAAGCATTTGGATGAGGATGTATAATGTGCCAATAGTTTCTTTTTTTTTTTTTT